CACTGCCGCGCAACCACAGTTGGTCCCTTATCATTTCGCACTGTGGCACCACAAATTGTATTTGGCACAGGAGAAGAACAAATGGCCACGGGTGGGAGGTCAGTAGCTGTCCAAGTTGGTACTGCTGCGAAACTTCCTCCTGCTTCAAACCTCGCCAAAAGCTTTGTTCGTACTGTGGAGTTTTGATGGCTTTAGTTCCTTGTCCTCCAGCAGCGTATGACACCGATGCCAGGGTTTGTGCCCACTGCGAGGGTGAGCAGGTTAATGCCTATGTCTTCTGCTCTGAGTTTGGAGGATGTTTCAGTGTGTCTTCTCAGCCCCTTTTCATGCAATGCGATGAACTCCTGCGGAGTCCTTGTCGGTGCCATGTATTTCCTTTGTTTCACAAAGTTATTTTTGCCCCCTGTGGCTTCCAGGTGACAATTTTGCCTACCAGGTTTTGAATGCCTAGGGCTTCTCTCTTTTGCTACTGGCATATGTACCGAATGGCTTTTTCCTTTATCTTTTTGGATTTTGGCTTTCTGGCTTCAAAGCCTTTGACAAAAAAGCCAGTAGGAGGTTTTGTGGGGTTGATGATGGAAAACTGCACCTTTGGAGAGACAGCAGGTGGTTCAAAAGTATTTTTGCCGGTTGTGTACAGTAATAAAAATGGTAATAGGGGCATGTATCTCTTGGGCAGAAGTTTTACCTTTAAACTGGTGCCTTCTTTAAAAGGGCTCTAAAGGTACATGCATTCAGTTTTTTGAAGAAACTGAACGTACCTTAGAGTATGTTAAGTTTGTTTTAGCAAGATTGGAGGTGATCTTATTCTAGTGAGACCGTCTAAACAGAACGAGTTGTCTTCTGTCATAAATTCATGTTTCTTAGTGTACTGTTTGGGATTGATGATGGATGGCTGGAGTAATAGCAGAACAAGTTTGTTTTACGTTTGCAAAAGTGTGCCCTTAAAGCTCACCCTGGGTATATGTACAATATTCTGCTCCAGTAATGGTGCCTAAAGACGGATTTATTTCCACTAATAGTCGCTACCTTTAGTCAAAGCTACTCCCTAACTCGAAAGCCTGAGGAGAATAAGTTGGCGTTATTCCATTTCTCAAAGATCAGTAGTGTTAGACCGGCAGGGAACTACTTTAAAAGTCCCAAGCTTTTCACTGAAAGCAAGTATTCCTGCTTCTAGAAGTTGGTAGGGGCTTTAGTAAGCACAAGTCGTTGATCTCAGCTGGGAACTTAGGCTTTTTCTATGCCATAGAAAGCTTTTAATCAACGGGTTTAGAATATCAGTCACAAACGTATCTTAGTTCACATCAATTTGAGAGGTAAAAGTCTCATGTGCAAGTCATTGAAATTAAAAACTCACCTCTTTGTGTCCACTGAGATCATCTCTCTGGAGACATATTGTAGTGTTTCCTTATAGCTATTGCAAATTAGAAGATATTTCAAAACATTTCAGGTTGTTACTCTCTCTTACAAAGAAACAGCATGCACCCTGCTGAGAAAAATACCATAACACTTATTTTCAAGATCTAATAGGGGGCTTAGAATTTTCTGTAAAATTGTCCTTTTCAGTATTAATAACAAAGAGAGCAGAGTCTGTTCAAATGCATTGTCACCATCCACCCCTTAGCTGTGGAGTGCAGAGCTATGAATGAAAAATGGGTTTAGTGTTCTCAGAATAGTTGGATTCTGCTGTGAATTCTTTCTTGCTGATGCTCGTGATCTGTTTTATGGAGAACATCTCCTTAAAATTACACACTGTAACTATAGCATGGTTTAGTTTGTATCAGCAGCCCTGCTGCTAGTGCTACTTCCTTGGTCCCTTGGGATCAGTGTGATTGGGAGCTGAGAAGGAGTTAACAATAAATACTGCTACTGGTTATCCAAACTACATTAATGTTGCCGTTTGCAGTTGTCTGCAAAGCAGTTGTGAAAGAGAAAGAAATCCTTTTCTCCCAGAAGCTTTCTCTGTGACTTGGATGTTTCTGTGCGTTTCCAGTAGAAGGGCGTGTGGCTGGGGATGGGAAGTCATTTACGCGCAGGGGCTTTGCTGCACTTTTTGTAAGTGAAGAAAAGTAGGTGAATTGAGTCTCCCTTTTCATGAGCTCCATGGTTAGCTTTTTACTACTGTAATTAGTTTAATCACATAAATATACATAACAGCAAATATTGTCTGGGGTTAATGTTAAGATTCTTCTTAGAATAAAGAGATCACATTAAACATGGACAAATCTAATTTACTTGCTCTGCACTATAAAGTTCCATGAATGACATTTATTGCGTTGAGGCAAATAAACACTTTATTACATGTTGCAACAATAGTGATTATCTTCGCATGAAGTATTTTTTGATTTTCTTTTTTTGCCCTATTTGAGCATGTGTTTTGATTATTCACTCCCAGCGCATGGAATAAAAAATGGAATTGTTGGAGATCATCTTGAGAAAGCATAGGATAAAACCTGGCTTTGTCTACTCTTTTTGTGGTTGTGAGTCTAAAGCAAAGCTGCAAATACTGGGAATGAATCCCTGGAGCAGATGGTACTGGCAAGGATCCTCCTCAGGAAGGAATTTGAGATACCCACCCTATGCCGGGTACTCTAGGTCAGCCTGTGCACAGTGTTGATGTATAGCATGACTTTGTTCATCCTGCTTTTATGAACTCTCGTGTCATTCCTAGGCCTAGTTTAAAAATAGCAGAAGTATTCTCATCAAGTCTGTGTCCGAATAGAAGTTCGGGGATGGTTTCTCTGCGTGTCCCGCTTCTCGAATATTTGCTTTTCTTCTACTTTGAACTCTTCACCAGAGTCGATCATGCTTTCCTAGTGAATAATTTTTTCTTAAAATACTTTGGAGGAAACTTCCAGTTGATGGATGCTCTGAGCTTGATGCTTATCAGCTCCAGCGCTTTGTCTTGGGAACAGGAGGTGCTATTTCCTTTTTGCATTTCTGTGAAACATTTGGGTAGTAAATTGTTCTTGCAGGTATAGATCAAATATATTCCTTATCTTAAAGTATTGACCCTGAAACATGGCAGAACCTTTTCTGTATCGCAGGGTTAGAAATCTCTTCAAGCACAGCCACACTGAAGATTGAAGTGGTTGGATAAAGGACCTATTTATTGAAGACTGCAACAATTTCTGTAAGAAATGCAGTTGTTAGAAGTATCTGCAAATTACTGAGGGAGAGAGGAGTGAAGGGAGTGGAACTGTAACCTTTTCCTAGGATGATTTTTCTCTGGGTTATTTTACAATATTTGACCTTATACTTTGACGTTATTATGGACTATCACTTGCATCTCTGGCTCCTTTTTTTGGAAGTGCTCTTCTGACAGGGTGTCTAGTTTTAGGGATATAATAAAGCTCAGCTGCGGAGACAGCAAACAGAGGCTTGTGCATAGGAAGAGCATGAGAGAGGCCCCTATTTTATGCCTGATTCTTTTTGAGTCTGCGTTAGGGAAGAGCTTATAATTGCAGACCACTGTTTTGAAACAAGTTTTACATAAAAATTGTTCTGACAGTGTTTTTATGTTTCAAGTAGCAACTATTCATTTGCCTTTGAAATGAAAATCATTTTACTCAACTAAAATTGTACAAGAAACTTTGATGCCTTCGGAGAGCTGGGTACTGGGTCTGCCCAAATTAGCACGTGATATGTTTTAATTGTAGGGGGCAAGAAAATGTGTACGGTCTCTTTGGAGACAAGTCTTCCGCCAGGCTCAACACTTAAAGGATTGGTATAGCAGTGTGTCTTTTATTTTATTTTTTTTCCCTCCTAACACAAAGAGTAGTTTTAGTAGCATCTGGAATACTTTTTGGCTAGTTCAAAATCGACTTAAATCCAAACCTTGTGATTTGGAAGTCACGTTCGACTCGGTATTGCTGCGTGTTGGTTTTTTCATCAGACGTCCTGCACTGCCCTCTAGTGATGCTCTGGCTATATTGTGCAGACTCGGGGAATATTTCCATAGTTATGTTTGCAGCTGAAGTGTCATTAAAACTTTTTGTTTGCCTTGGAAGTTTCTAGCATAAGCTTACAGTGGCCAGTTTTTAAAGTTGTCATTTCATCCTGAATTGTTTTGGATTTTTTTTCCCCTGCACGTTTTGAAGTAAACTGAACAATTTTGCTTTTCAGGTTGGAAGGCCCTTTGAAATCACACACCTAAGGGTTTTTTTATGAATTGTCTGACGCTTCGTTTTCTCTGTGTACATTGGAAATACAATCAAACTGTAATGCAGGAATTGCATGTTAAAAACTCCTTTTTATAATTTTGTATGTGGGCTAGCACATAAGGAACCAGTAGCAGATACGTTGGCCTTAAGATGTTGTTTTTGAAATTGACTTAAAAAAGGAAGAAGCGCTCTGATGGACCATTTTTAAGAGGCAACTGGTTCCATGTATGTGTTCAGTGAAAAGTGTGTTGTTCTTTACTGTCATTTTAATGACAAGTAATTCCATACAATAAATGGAGGGGCCTGAAGTATGTGCGGACTATCACTATGTTGAGGCCGCATCTGAACGCTCAAATGGTACTAGAGCATGGCTGATACAGCAGTTTCCTCTGGCCTTCTTGAGTAAAGGTTTGTTTACGTGAGTATAAATACACATTTATAGTAGTGTAGCGTTTTCCTCTGTGGACGTGGGAATTCATCCCAGTGCTGTTACCTGTTTTAGAACTGAGTTCTGTCACTTGCTACAGTACCTGAGCTCTTTCCACAGAAAACCACTGGCGAAGTGCTTAGAAGACTTTGTGGAGTTCCTTGATATTTGACTCTTCTCGGGACCCTGCTAACAAATAGACTAAGTGGATTTTTGGTCAGAAGCCCTTCAAATCCATTTTGGAGGATACCTGACATGCTCTCTCATTAACGGGGGAGTGAAAAACGTGCCCAGGCATTTCTATGAGATTTATTAGAGAATATAGAAGGAAAAGACAGATATCCAACTACTGTTTATTTTTCCTGCTTCTCAGTTCTTCTCTTTATTTATTTTCTTTTTGTTTTCACTGTTCAGGTGTTGCCACCCTACTGGAAATATGGGGTCTGAAAATCCAAGTCCGCAGAACCCTGGCTGTAAGATCATGACCTTTCGTCCCACCCTTGAGGAGTTTCGGGACTTTGGGAAATATGTTGCCTTCATTGAATCACAAGGAGCTCATCGAGCAGGGCTTGCCAAGGTGAGTTGCCTTAGCTTAGGTACTGAAAGCTTACTGAAGGGCGCTTTTCTGACTGTTTATCTTAAGTAAGGTGTCTGTGAAATAATATCACCCGGAGGTAGTTTTCTTACATGTAGTGAGGTGGAGCATTGTTTTGAAAATTGAATTTGCAATCTCTGTGTTTTGATTTAACTATAGAGGAAAAAGGGAGGGATTTCACCCCTTCCATAAGAGTAAAACAAGCTTTTATTTAAAGGATGCCTTCTTCTGATTCCTAACTGGAAAGCAAAGATGTTCCCAGTGCTTCCAGAGTTGGGGTAAGGGTACTTCCAGGTTCTGATCCTGTTACTGAGATGTAGATACTGATAGCCGTGGTCCTCAAGGGTTGGAGGTGTGAGCTCTTCAGCTTCCTCAGCTGAAGTAGGGTAAAGGATCAAGTTTTTGAAGCCTACTTAAGTTTGGATGGGGAAGAGGCCCTAAGATGTGTGTTAAGTTACATCCATATGAATTGGCACAAACTTTTCTGCTCTGAACTACCACCTTATGCTGGCTTGAATCTGGACCTTTAAATGTATCCTGTGTATGTGTGGTCCCCAAAGGTATTTGAAAGTCTTGTTTTGACCTTCAGAAAATAGTTCCCCAGCCAAGTCAAAAATCTCTGTCCACCTCCTCTCCCCGTCCCCATTTCTACATTGAAACTGATGAAACATTAAGGGAACTCTTCATGTGAAGCTTTTAAATTGCTATACTTTGCCTACAGGTGCTTGGAAAAAATCAGGACAAACTGAATACAGAGATTATTTCTGTGGCCATGTCTTGTTCTACCATAGGCTGAGAGATTCATTTGTCCTGACAAGGTAGTTGTACGCGTGGTATTTAGCAGAACTTAATAAAGCACAGGAGAGGAGAGAGGTAAAGCTGTTAGGCATGAAATAGTATTTACTTTTTGCTAAAACATAGGTCAATTACTGTTTTTATTACAGTTCTAAATAGAGCTGGGTACCGATAAAAAGCTCTCTGTAAAATGTTTCCTTGTCCACTCGAGTGTACTAGCAATTACATTCTGGGAGACCAATAGGGTAGATTATTTTAATAAGGGCTGCTGGTGAATTCCAGATGTCATAAAGAAATAACTACCTGTAGGACTACATTTCAGCATTTCAAGTTAATCGTTCTGTCTAGTTGTTGTGACTGCAGCTCAAAACGTTTTAATGGAAGTAGAGCTCATCATATCCTGGAGGAACCATGCCCATGAAAATCAATAACTTGTCCTTCCATTCCCATAACTACTTTTGGTAAATCCATATACCAAATTAAATTGCAGATACATTTTCTTCATTCTACATGCTCACTGAATGTTCTACTGATTGTCCTCTGATCTTGAGCCTAGAATTATTGGCAGCTGTTCTCTTCAACATTAAAGCTTTTTTTTTTCCAGATTCAGCCCTGCTTTGTAGCAATTTATTTTGCACAGCCTCTAAGAATGGGGAAAGAGTTCTGTGCATGTTCCCCGCATTTTTCTTTTGCTCTTCTCCACCCCCTGCCCCTTTTTGTTTAAGGAGCTATTTGGAAGCCTGGTGTGGTGCTTACAAATACAGGAAACAGCAATAATGCAACAGGACTGTGAGGTTTCCTAGTTTTCAAAAAGCTGTCAGCCCTCTAGTGATGTTAGTGAGTCCTGTACTTCAGCCGTTTCAGAACAGGTGGCTTGTCTTCTGTGCTGGTTATTTGAGATGGTGCAGTTATTTGATATCCTACAGCAGCAGGATGAAATACCTTCTGCTTAAATGTGTTTTTCTCAGTAGAAGTTAAGTGTTTGCCTGTGGTGCCCATGAAGTATTGTTTGTTTTTCCTTCCTCTTCCAGGTGATCCCTCCCAAGGAATGGAAACCCCGAAAAACCTATGATGATATAGATGATATGGTTATCCCAGCTCCTATTCAGCAGGTGGTTACTGGACAGTCAGGGTTATTCACCCAGTATAACATACAGAAGAAACCGATGACTGTGGGAGAGTACCGGCGTCTGGCTAATAGTGAGAAGTATGTTAGTGTTATGCGTTGCGTTATGTCATGAACAGGGGAGTTTTGTGGGAAGCCTTTCTAAAAACAAACTGAAAAGAAAATGCAGCCAACCTTGTTAAAGCAGAAGCATTTGGGTGGAAACAGCTTTTTCTTGAAATTGTAAGTCCAGAATCTCAAACAAGTTTATAACTTGCTTGCTCTTGAAGTATCTTGATCTTTTTCTGTGAATTGGTATAGAAAGATTCTTTGAAGTCAGTCTTTGGCTAAGAAAATCCCTGAAAAAATATCTTGAGACCCAAAGAAGAGCTCTCAGGGTATGAATGTTTGTTCTTGAAAACGTGTTCCATTGCTGAGGTACAAATGTCAGTATCTTGGAGTACCTGAGCTAATATTGGTAGCGTGCACGTCTTCTGAAGTGACTGGGAATATTGCAAAACACTTCACTTAGCGGAGACGAGTTAACTCTGACACAAGCTGCAGTTGCATTCTTTTTCCGGATCCACTTTCCTAGAGCTCTGGAGTATCTTGGGTTTTAACTCGAGCAACACTGACAGTCACACAATCAGCCTTAAAACATTGCCTAGTAAAACATAGACATGAGTGCTTTACCTGTGTTCAGCAGCTTGTGTGATAACTTAATCTCCTGCATCCTTACAGATGGTGATCTGGTGCTTCACATAGATGCGAGTGCTATTTTTCTGTCAATATGCACTAAGAGTTTTTGTAGAAAGTTTTGAAGGGCAGTAAATTATATGAACCTAAATAGAATTAAAAAGGAAGTGCATCTTCAGTAACCTCCTGAGTGTCTGTTTTGAAAGTTACCTTACTTTTAGAGCCCTTTTGGGCTTACAGGCACTAGAAAATGAGAGAAGGAAGGAAGTTTACTAGCATAAGTTCCAGAAGTAGAAATGAAGAGACTGGAGTTGTGTGCTTGGCTGTATCCTTGCGTTACAACATGGTACTAATCCACCTTACTTTTTTCCTTTACTTTCTTCCTGTGCTGAATATAACATACTTTTAAGGTGTAGTAGCAAGTCCAGATAATTTGTTGATATTTTGTACATTTTTGCTTTGAGATAATTAGATGGTGGATGCTCTAAATACGCAAGGGGATCAATTTTCACTGTTGCATGCCCACTTTTACTCTGTGTTGCTCCCTAGAATCTACTGCCCAAACTGTAGTTCATGCCTTTTTCTGTCCTTAAAAGTTAGGAGTGCCTGTTTCAACCAGGCCTTTCACAAAGCTGAGAAGTGCGTGCTGCTTTTCAGTCATTTATCAGTCTCTGATGAATGGTCCTTGGGACTGCTTACATCCTTACCTTTTCTATGTGTTTTCTCAGGTATTGTACTCCTCGCCATCAAGACTTTGAAGATTTGGAGCGTAAGTACTGGAAGAATCTCACGTTTGTCTCACCAATTTATGGAGCTGATATCAGCGGCTCGCTATATGATTCAGTAAGTGAAAGGCCCCACTCATATATATATATATATAATGGGCACTGACTTTTCTTTGTCGCTGTTTACTCATTAGAGGTAGTACTTCAGAATGAGTTATTAGATTTAGCAGCCCTTGAAAAGGCAACTTACGTCTTTATTCTTCCCTCATTAGGAAAGCGTGACTAAACTTCCATCCCTCCCCAGAGATTCAGGATGATAGTCAATGGAGTCTTTGATAATCCTTAGCCTTACTAGAAAAAATAGACAAAGATTGATTTAGTTGAGTTCTTATGGAGCCTCTGGGAGAAGTCTATAAAACTTGCATAAAAGGTTGTTAAAGAAAACAGTACTGGTATCATAAAGACATGTCTAGATGTGCGTGATGCGAGCTACTGGTTCCTGATCTCCACCATACATTGACGTTTTAAAGTTATTTTTTTAAAGGGAATAACATAAATACAGATTTCTACTGAAGTACCCTGAAGATCCAGAAAAGGAGCATCTCAAGCAATTGGGCCCGTAGTCAAAAATAGTTTTAATCATCCCTCATTGCAGTGTTTTTGACTCTTAATGCAGCTAAGATACTTGCAAAATCTTGGAATTTTTCTTTTTTATAGTATATCCTGTAGGCAGGTATATTAGGATACAATGCATCTCTTAATTTGAATTGTAATATAATTTAATAGTTTAAACTTTTCCTTGGTGAAATTGCACTCTGTGCTTAAAGTAATTCTGTTGTATTCTTTTTTTGGCTGTAAATGATAAAGGTTGCTTATCTTCTTACTGTGTTTAGCAGCTAATTTAAAGTTATGACCCCCTCTCTGTAGTTTTCTTTTGAGTGGAAAGTAGCATTTAGGAGTGCTTCCTGATTGTTTGCAGTATTTAAATACTTAAAATGAGATTAGGCTCTCAGATGTGTGTTGTCTTTGTGTATGTAGTCGCAATCTGAGAGAGTAAGAAGCTACAGTATAAACTGTTTGCTAGTGTAAAAAGTGTCTTTTTATTATTAATATGGTTTAATATAGAATTAGTTGGAATACATACAGATTTCTAAGGTTTTCACAAAAACGGATACTGCAGTTATCCCTAATATTTGCTGCTTTGATGAGAGCGTCACGTTCTTATCCATGATATGATCAGGCAAAGTGCTGTAACTGAACACCAATGCAAGCTTTGCGAGAAGTAACTTCTGCAATGTCCTAAATGTATGTTTTGCTGCCTTCAGTTTCCTTCAAGCTCCTATAAGCAGAAGTTACATAACAGCATTGCCAGCCACCTCTAAAAGAACATTTGCTATTGTCCAATTACTTATATCGCTCTAAGCACTGAGGTGTCAGAGTAGCAAAATACATTCTCTCTCTGCACTCCTTTTCATCTTGCTTTTCAGCTGCTTCCTTTCTACATCCCTTTACCTCCTGCCACCCCTCTTTTTTTTTTTTTGTTAGGTTGATTTAGAAAGTTTCAAGATGAGCAGCTTGAATTTCACTGTCTTACGGTTACTCCAGCAAGCAGCATGAAGCTGACATTGCTTTCATCTATATCTGTTGCTTGCACGCATACTAAATATGCTAGGGAAAAGAGATGGGAAGGAGATGATTAATTTCTTTTTGGAGATTGTATTACTCTTCAGGCAATGTCAGGGTTAAAGATTTGTACCAACTTGTGCGACTTTTCTGTTTTGTACTAAAGTAGAGAAAACCAACTACCAGACTTAGAGTTTTTCTTTTCATTGGTCTTTCTATTGAAAAAAATTATCAGCAAAATTGTCTTCCCTATTCTTTGTGTGAAGTACCTAGCTGATGTAGCGGTTTCTGCCTGTTTGGCCATGTTTCAGTCAGGCGTTCATGATCCGTTGATCCGAGATATTCTCTACATAAAGAACATCATCTACATGGAATATGCTAGTGAGAGAAGTGTATTTTACCCTTAGTTTATCTTGTATTTATTAGTAAACTGTTACTTAACGGTGGAGTATCTCAGAGTACAAATGTGTCCTTCGAAAATGCACGTAATAAGAAGCTGGTAAGCTCTTTGCCACAATGTAGTGTTAACACATTTTTTTTTGTGGTTATTGATGAACATCAAGAATAAACTTGATGGAAACAGGGGAAATAAATTAATGCAGATACAGGAAAGCCTCCAGGATAACACTAGGATATTTATAACCCCACTTAAAGGCGTTCAAGGAGGTTGTGGCATATTCTGCTGTAGCAAGTTCTGATATGTTCCAGTACAAAACATGTTTCTTTTGAATTACAGGATGTGGAAGAATGGAATATTGGCAATCTGAACACCCTCTTAGACATGGTGGAACATGAGTGTGGTATTATCATAGAAGGTGTAAACACTCCCTACCTCTACTTTGGGATGTGGAAGACAACATTTGCTTGGCATACGGAGGACATGGATCTCTATAGTATCAACTACTTGCATTTTGGCGAGCCAAAATCCTGGTAAGCAACAGTACTGATAGATACTTTGCCTCTACTCGGAAACCACTGCAATGTCCTTTTTTCTTCTTGACTAGTGTCTCTCTTTCTCTGCAGGGCGTAATCTTGATACAAAATCAGTTCTTAATTTACAATCAAATGAAAATATGTAATGAATATTTTTGCTTTAGCTAAAATAATTGAAACTTGATAGCGTTTTTAAGATGCCTTTCCATGGAAGTTTAAGCTGATCTGCCTCTAAGATGCTGTGGGCCTGCCCTTCCTTTTCTTCAGGTGTGCATCTTGCCATCCCTATTGCACCAGAAGCAGGTAGTGAGCTAGTTTGGAGAGCTGTAAAAACCAAACCAAAAAAAAAAAGAAAAAAGTGACTGGGTTCATTTCCCTGAACTGGCTCGATGCCTAACTGAGCTGCCACCAATGTTCCCCCAAAGAAGGGGGCCCTGGCTTAAGCCTAGCCCGCCATGAAACTGTCTCTCTTTTATGTTGCGCTCAATCCAAGTGCAGGCTAGCTAGGGGGGCAGCGATCCAGCTTACTTCCAGTCTACAGCAGCGTGCTCCACCAGGTGACCAACTGGTGAGTCAGTTCAGGAAGCAGATTGGTGGAAGACTTCCCATTGGGGCCAAACGCAAGAACATCCAGGAGGGGGGAGTAGCAGAGCATTCCCCTCCACCCCGACATTTGAAAACAATGTTGCTTGCTTTCTTGCTAACTTGATTTGTGGCCTAGTTCCTGACTTTCTAGAAGGCAAGAAGAATTAGGGAGACTTGTTGACATCGTAATTAAAAACACAGAGAGATTTCAACGTTTGTGGCTTTTCAAAAACTAAGGCACAGGATGGAATGTGGCAGACAAAATGGTGATGGCAACGTGTGGACACTTTAAAAGCGCTTTAATAGTAAACAACTGTTGTTCCTTCATTGTACTGCAGGCAGGAGACTTCTGTTGCTTTAAAAGCTTTTTAAAAATGCTTTAAAATTACCATCATTTAAATGTATAAATATGCTTACAACTCCAGGTCAAGGTGTTACTTTTCCATGGTTAATTGTTAGAATAACAGTAAGCATTTTTATAAAACACTGTCAGTGCATAGACTGGTTTGAAATAGCTTTCCACAGAAGAAATCAATAGGTAAGGATGAAATTGGGAAGCTAGGAAATCTAGAATAAGTGGGTTACCCAGAACCGATATTCTGTTTTCTGAAGCCTCCTATTTAAAAGTATAACCAGAGAGACTTAGTAACTTAGAAGAACTTTGCTGAAGATCTTGCTGTGACTAATAAATATTGACATTTGTGTGCAAATTAAAGCTTAAATGTCACTGTGGAACTGCTGTCATTGTGCCCTGGCACTTGCAGACAAGATCCTCCCATCTCTCTGCGATATGAGTCCCTAGTGACACTACATATCTCTAGGCTATTAGTGCCTGCGGGCATATAAAAGCTACCAGCAGCAGAGAGGCTGTTAATGAATAGATACAGCGTTCCTCTACAGTCTTGAAAAGGAGTGGAAGGGGGGGCTGAGTCTGTAACGTTCAGCCATAGTCTTGATGTGAATTTTTAAATGTTTACGTCATGTCAGAAAACCTCTTTCTCTAGCGTAGCTGATTCTTTGTCTCTGTTCTTCAGGTAGGTGTACAGGGGTATTAGAGAGTCACTTGTGTTATCCATGTTAAACATGTTTGACTTCAAGAAACAAATCTCTGGATTAGGAATGAAATGTGACATGCTTTCATTTTTAGATACTGTCAAGCTTTTTTTTTTCTTCTTTCCCCTTAGTCTTCAGAAGCGGTTCATTCAAAATTATTTTTATTTGGCCCTAATCTCCAGTAGGTGGTGCCACCAGCACAGCAGCAGCACTTACTCTCCTTTGACCATACAGCACAGTGACCATCAGCAGAGCCAGTGTCCTCTTTAGTATGGCTGTTTCAACACTTCAGTACGCAAGAGTTAGTTTCTCGAAGAGTTGTATGCAGAACTAACCTGAGGTTTGAATTAGGGTCACGCGATCATGGCTGTCTCCCAGCCACCCCTTTCATGCTTACATGTTATCAGTGCTGTCCCATCTGCTTTTTGTTCTGAGCTCAGAGCAGGGGGGTATCTCTTTCAAAAAATAGAAATAAGACCAGATTATCTTGAGAAGAAAAGCTAGTTACAGCATAAAAATAATGGCCCTTCTGTTTAAGGGGGGGGGGAGGGGGGGGGAACCCACCCAGCACAAAGCAACCCAGAACCTCTCTTTGTAAGCAAAAGTTAGTCAATAGAAGCGAAATTAAACATTTTTAACCTCTTACACTCAGTGTTTGTAGCTTGACCTGAACTGTTTTCCTTCTTACATGCATCTTACGAGTTCCATGGGGATGCGAAAGGACAATAAACTTTGCATGAAGTTTAGTAAGTCTGGCAAATATCAGATCTTATAAGCTTTAGTATCTTGAATCTTGGCAGCTTTGATTTCTCTCTTGAAGATTTTGGGGAGATGCTGGGGAACACTCAATATTCGCCTCAGAGGGATTCCAGTTGTTGTTCTTCAGCCACCACTGCTTATAAACGGAATAGGACCTTCTTGTAAAGGAGCTTAAGTCTTGCAGGATTTTTTTTAAGTGCTTTTTACCGTGGTTAAAAGGAGTGGAGGATAGGATTTTTTTCTAGCTGTCCCGTGGTCGTATAGGCTTTTTAAGGTAACTAGTTCTATAAACCTAGTGCTGTTGGGGGGGAAAAATGAGGATTTTGAGGTCAGGCCATGTTTTTGGCAAAGCATTTTCCTGTTCGACTGAGCTTTTCATATAGATGACAGACTGTATGTAACACAAAAATGGATGTATTGTGACGAGATGCTGTTGCTGGTTTGGCAGGCCTCTCTTGCTTTTCCCCCAAGGATGAGGCTAGAGTATGCCACTTGCCCAAGTCATTTCTTCCTCGTTCTTCACAATGACAGCTTCTGTTAATGAGTTCTCAAGCTCTTCTGTGTACAAGCATTGGCCTTTAAGAAGTAAATTTGAACACCGTTTTGAGCAGACCTGGAACTTTTCAGGTCCATGAGCAATTGTGCCTCTTTTGGATACAATTGCAATGATCCCAAAGGTCAGTTGGGGGAGCTCTTGGACTTCGGCAGAGAGATTCCAGTGGTGCAGACTGGCTTCCCTCAAAGATGGCTAAAATGTTATTCTGGCACCACCTCTGTGGAAATTTCCCAGCTTCCTTCATCCTTTTTATAGACTCTTTGACTCTGACAGTGATCATCTTAGAAGCACCTCAGGGAATAACAGGAGTATGGAGAGTTTCAAAGTCTACCGGTTTGGGGTTGAGCTCTAAAATAAGAGGCAGAGTTATTGTTTGGTTGTCAGAGATATTTATATAGTGAAACCAAGCACTCTCTATATTGGAAGTATTATTCCTCAAAATTGTCTGTTAAAAACATAACTCTTTCTTCATGTCTCTCATAAATTATTTTAGGCTACTTTAATCCAGGCTGTGCTACCAAAGCCCTGCTTTGCAGAGTAGCGAATAGGAACAGTGAGAAGCCACCAGCTCTGTTTCCTGATGAAGGCAAGGTGAGAAAGGAATTGGGCCAAATGAGGCTGCTTCCCAGACCTTGTTCAGATGGATTTTATGAGAAATCACTCCATGTTTATTTTCTATGGAAGAGGTGAAGGGCGGAATTACCTTCTCACGAAGGTCTGGATACATTCAGACTGTGAGAAGACACCAGAGTAGAAGAAGATAGGCTGAAAAAGGAACCTCTTGTAGGTCAGGGAGGGTAGTTATTGAAGAGCTATTTTGTATGCATCTTTCATTTCTGTCTTTGGAATTTGGGGTTATACTTCTTACACAACAGGTGTTTTTTGGGGACTGTTGGGATTGGAGTTAAAATAAATGTTTGCGGCTCAACAGATGAGGATGGTTTCCTTGTACACCCTAATTAGCAGCTGCTTGGTCATACAGCTGCTTGATTAATATGTGTCTCTCTCACTGCAGAGAAGTCCTGCTGCCAACACTTTCTTGTACTGTTTCTTTTCCAAAAGCTGAGCAGAATAAGCTGTAGCGAAATGAGTTCTTTACGCAGTGCTGTGTCACTGGGGATGCAGGTTAAAAAATTCGTGAGCATTAAGTGAAATATTCGAGCAGTAGGGGGTTACCCAGTGATGAGGAAGAGAAAAGGGGGTCATGAAGGACAGCTCTTTTTCTGCTTCCACTCTCACTGAGTGATGTATCTATGCCTGTAGTTGCAATGCATTTATTTCTTAAATTCTGTCTCAGTATACTGAGAAGAATGAACACTGTCTTCAGCCCGTATGATTGCTGCTGCAAAGATAGCCCTCCTGCCCCTTTTGAACTGTGCTTGCCTCTGATACTCTTTTTCAGGCGTATGCATCTGGTATGTGTTGTAACCACACTTTTGTTGTTTTTAACTGGAAAATCAGTCTGATAGACTTAAGAGGTAATATGAAAGGTGTGGGCGCTTTCCATCAAACATACCAGGAATTTAGAGCTGTTGTGTAACTTCATTTTAAGCTTCTCAGGCAGGGAGCTGCCAGATTGAGTCTCTTACTTGCTTGTTTCTCAAATTATAATAAAATGTCCCTCTTACATTAGTAGTTTAATTACAACCTTTTCATAGCCTGTCTTCAGTTTTCTCAAAAGTTTGAATGTATTTCATTTTGCAGCCCTATATTAAACCTCTTGTGGTAGGAGTTTTTACTGTATCAATTATACATATTATGTATAATTACCTTATACATTCATGTGCTGAGATCTAGATACAGCATATTGTCAAATGAGCTAACAGAAGACTGTTTTTTTTTTTTTGGTAACGACAGAGGCAACAAAACTGAATGCCAAGTGTAATACTTTATGGCATTTTTGAGGAATGCATGTTTCTCAGCATTTGCAGTTTCAAAAGCGTATTTTGAAACACAGATACTCAACCATGCCTTCGTTCTATCTCTATAGAAGTGTGTGAGTGCATGTCTGTGCTCTCTTTAGATATAAATTATGACCTTGCAT